CACCCACAGGCCCAGCCTCACCCGCAGGCCCGCGCGATGGGAGAGCTGCCAGTGGGATGTGCCGGCCCCGAGCTTCTGGGCACTGACGCAGGTCTATTCCCTCTCGTGCCATGGCCTCTGTCCGCTCACAGCAGAGACTGGGCCACGCAGCCCCAAACGTGCCAGACTCGAAGTTTTGTGTGTGTTTTAATATATATTTTTACTGATTTCAGAGCGGAAGGGAGAGGGAGGGAGGGAGAGAGAAACATCAAGGATGAAAGAGAGTCATTGGTCAGCTGCCTCTCGCATGTCCCACTGGGGATTCAGCACGCAACCCGGGCCTGTGCCCTGACTGGGAATCGAACCCTGACCTGGTTCATAGGTCGTCCCTCAACTACTGAGCCACGCCGGCCAGGCTCACGTTTCTGTTTTTAAAGCAGCCAGGCCTGTGTCTAGGGGTGCTGCCCCCCAGCCTCTCCCAAGCAGCCCCCCAGCAGCTCACAGCAGAGGCCCCTCCTGCCCACCGTGGGCACCCCACAGGCCCTCCTGTCCGCCGTGGGCACCCCACAGGCCCCGGCCTCTGCTCTGTTTGCCGGGCCTCCCGCAGAGCAAGCCTCCAGTCTGCCCAGCAGAGGGCCAAGCCAGGGGGCCCTCCCTCTGGGTGTCACTTGGAGTTGTGAGGCCGTGGGAAGGCCCCAGGGCCTGTATCCTCAGCAACAGCCCCCAACGATGTGCCTCCAGCAGGACCCCCCACACTCCTTCCCCTCCCACCCACCCCCCACTTGTCCCCACACTGTGCCAAAGGCTTGGGCGTCCCCCGGGAGACCAGGGGGCCCCGCCTGCCCACATGTTCCCGGAACCAGCCCCTGTCCCTGGACAGAGAGGGCGGCTGAGAAAAGGGTCCGCTCAGCGCGCTCCTGAGCTCGTAGAAGCCGGGGCACAGGCAGCCAAGTCAGCGCAGCTGCTGGGGGACGAGACTGGACAGAGTGTGACCAGGGGTCAGGGCGAGGCCGAGGGTCATGGCTGGGTGATGGGGGGCCGGGAAGGCCTCTCTGGAGACATG